GACGCTGGTTAAAGGTATGGTCGGGTGATCATGGACGCTGGTATGGGGTATGGAGAGTGATCAGGGACTCTGGTATGGAGGTGATACAGGACACTGGATATGGGGGTGCTCCAGTGACGCCTGGTATTGGGTAATGGAGGTATCAGTACTCTGGTAAGGGGTATTGGTGGTGATCAGGACCTGGTATGGTATGGTGGTGATCAGGACCTCTGAATGGTGATATGAGGGTGATCAGGACGACTGGTATGGGGGGTGATCAGGACTATGGTATGCGGGTTTATGGTGGTGATCAGGGACTCTGGTTTGTGGTGTGTTTAATGGTGTGGTGATCAAGGCTCTGGTATGGGCGAATAGGGGGTGATCATGACGCATGGGTATGGGTAGTAATGGTGGTAATCAGGGACTCTGGTATGGGGTGATGGTGGTGATCAGGCCTCTGGTATGGTGTATCGGGTGGTGGATTCAAGGCTCTGGTAGTGGGGATATGGGGGTTGTTGTTGATCAGGGCGTTGGTATGGTGTATGGTTGGTGATCATGACTCTGGTTATGGGGTAATTATGGTGGTGTGATCAGGATGGCTGGTATGGGGTATGGCCGTGGTGATCAGGAACGCTGGGTATGGGGTATGGCAGAGTGATCAGGACGCTGGTATGGGGTTATATGGCGTGATCAGGGACCGCTGGTAATGGAGTTGATCCAGGCACGCTGGTATGGGGTAAGGTGGTGATCAGGGACAGCTTGGTATGGAGTAATGTCGGAGGATCAGGACCCGCTGGTATGGGGTATGGAGTGTTATCAGGGACTCTGGTATGGGGAGTATATTATGGTGGTGACCAGGACTCTGGAATGGGGTATGCTGGTATCAAGGTCTCTGGTATGGGGGTAAATGGGGGTGATCAGGACGTTTTCAATATAAATAAATTTATTCAATTACTTCAATACCTAATTATCTTGTACTATATCTGGTTATGGGTAACATATGGCTGTGATCGTTCAGGACGCTGGTTTGGGGGTAGAATCAGGACTCTGGTATGGTGTAATGGGGGTGAACAGGACGCTGGTATGGGGGTATGGAGGTGTTATTCGTGAGCACTGGGACAGGCGACGGGTTGGCTTCCATTATGTATTGTTCCCCGACACTACTGGGGCCAGTGATCAGGAGAACACTGGGGGGCTGGCACTGCAGTCTGTGAACACTGGGGGGGGGGGGGGGGGGGCGCTGGCGGTGTGCTACTGAGGTATATATATATAGTACACGCGTGTGCTACTGAGGTCTATATATATATATACAGTGTGTGCTACTGAGGTATATATATATACAGCGTTGTGCTACATGAGGTATATATATATATACAGTGTGTGGTAGGGGTGCTGGGAGAGGAAGGGTTAAGTGGGAAGGGGGAGGGGGAGGAGGAGGTGGGCCGCCCCTTCCTCTCCTTGCACTGTATACAATGTGCTTCCTGAATGGAGATCTCCATGGACTGACACCACAGTGACCAACCGGATGACACCGACCGTCCCACCGAGCCGGGGTCACCAAGACACCTTATTCTGGTATGTATGGACTCTGCACAGTCCCACTTCTCCTGTCCTGGATGCGGGTGTCATTTCTCGGGTATCTGTCCTTATTCTGTATGTATGGACTCTGCACAGTCCCACTTCTGTCTGTCCTGGATGCCGGGTGTCATTCTCGGTATACTGTCCCCATTCTGTATGTATGGACTCTGTACAGTCCCCACTTCTCTGTCCTGGATGCGGGTGTCATTCTCGGTATCTGTCCCATTCTGTATGTATGGACTCTGCACAGTCCCACTTCTCCTGTCCTGGATGCCGGGTGTCATTCTCGGTATCTGTCCCCATTTCTGTATGTATGGACTCCGCACAGTCCCACTTCTCCTGTCCTGGATGCCGGGTAATCTCTCGTTCTGTAGGGCTGTGTATGCCGCTTGATGGAAGGATGTCTTGCGGTGGCCGAGTCTCCAGTCCTCCTGAATATACAGTCATGGCAATAATCTTGTCCCCCCGGCAGTTCTGTCAGATAACGTGCCCAGTCACGACCTTCCATCAACCACCCAACCTCAAAAATTGTGACAATGGACAAATGCCAACATTTTCCTGTATATACCACATTCTCATGTTTATTTCTTTGGTTTGTATCGGGATGACATAAAAAAGTGGAGAAACAAAAAGCCAAATCTGACCCATTCCACAGAAAAATCACAAAAAAATGGACCAGACCAAAATTATTGGCACCTTCTCAAAAATTGTAAGAAATAATTGCATTCCTCACGTTTGTGATATTCCTGTAATTAAACTCACATGTATCAATGAACAGATCTTCATGTTCCTGTGTCCACTGTGCGCAACATTGTAAAGACGTTTTGCAGCCCATGGCACTGGAGCTGATCTCCCTGGGTGTGGATGGAAGAGAAATATCGATCAAAGATTGCAATGAAGGATTGTTGGAATGGTGGGTAAAGAACCTCCATTACATCAACTTCCAGACAAATCCAAGCTGACCTTCAGGCACGGGTACAAACTGTGTCACCTCATACTATATGTCACCATCTGAATGAAAAGTGGCGCTATGGTAGGAGACCCAGAAGGACCCCACTGCTGACACAAAAAATATGGTAGGAGACCCAGGAGGACCCCACTGCTGACACAGAAATATGGTAGGAGACCCAGGAGGACCCCACTGCTGACACAGAAACATGGTAGGAGACCCAGGAGGACCCCACCGCGGACACAGAAATATGGGAGGAGACCCAGGAGGACCCCACTGCTGACACAGAAATATGGTAGGAGACCCAGGAAGGACCCCACCGCGGACACAGAAATATGGGAGGAGACCCAGGAGGACCCCACTGCTGACACAGAAATAGGGTAGGAGACCAGGAGGACCCACTGCTGACACAGAAATAATGGTAGGAGACCCAGGAGGACCCCACCGCTGACACAGAAATATGGTAGGAGACCCAGGAGGACCCCACCGCTGACACAGAAATATGGTAGGAGACCCAGGAGGACCCCACCGCGGACACAGAAATATGGGAGGAGACCCAGGAGGACCCCACCGCTGACACAGAAATATGGTAGGAGACCCAGGAGGACCCCACTGCTGACACAGAAATATGGTAGGAGGCCCAGGAGAACCCCACTGCTGACACAGAAATATGGTGGGAGACCCAGGAGGACCCCACTGCTGACACAGAAATATGGTAGAAGACCCAGGAGGACCCCACTGCTGACACAGAAATATGGTAGAAGACCAGGAGGACCCCACTGCTGACCACAGAAATATGGGAGGAGACCCAGGAGGACCCCACTGCTGACACAGAAATATGGGAGGAGACCCAGGAGGGACCCCACTGCTGACACAGAAATATGGAGGAGACCCAAGAGGACCCCACTGCTGACACAGAAATATGGGAGGAGACCCAGGAGGACCCCACTGCCGACACAGAAATATGGGAGGAGACCCCAGGAGGGACCCCACTGCCGACAACGGAAATATGGGAGGAGACCCAGGAGGACCCCCACATACCGACACGGAAATATGGAAGGAGATCCAGGAGGACCCCACTGCTGACACAGAAATATGGAGGGAGAACCCAGGAGGACCCCACTGCTGACAGAGAAACATATTGGAAGCCAGATTGGATTTTGCCAAAACCTACCTGAGGAAGCCAAAAATCCTTTGGCAGAATGTGCTGTGGACAGACTAAACAAAATGGCAGCTTTTTGGTAAAGCCATCATTCTACTGTACGTATATCAGAAAAAGCAATGATGGCCTTACAAAGAAAAGAACTCCAGTCCCTCCAGTCACATGGTGGGGGTCACAGTCCCTCCAGTCACACATGGTGGGGGGTCACTGATGGTTTGGGGTTGCTTTGCTGCTTCAGGCACTGGATGTCTATGGCTGTGTGCATAGCATTATGAAATCTGCAGACTACCAAAGGATTCTGGGGTGCAATAAATGGTTTCAGACAAAGCGCTGGAGAGGACTGAACTGGCCAGCAATGAGTCCAGATCTCCATCCCATAGAGCTCCTGTGGAGAGATCTCAGACCAGCAGTTGGGAAAGGAACCTTCCAATCTGAGAGACCCGGAGCAGTTGGAGGAAGAAGAGCGATCCAAACTTCCAGTAGAGAGGTGGAAGAAGCTCATTGATGGTGACAGGAAGCCATTGATTTCAGGTATTTTTTCCAAGGGATGTGCCACCAAATATTACATGGAGGGTGCCAATAATTTTGTCCAGTCCATTTTTGGGAATTTTGCGTGGAAGGTCAGATTTGGCTTTTTGTTTCTCCACTTTTTCGTGTCATAGCAATGCAAACAAAAGAAATAAACATGAGAATGCCAAAACATTTGTCATTGCAACAATTTTCTGGGAAGTGGTGCGTTATCTGACAGGAATGCCGGGGGGTGGGGGGGGAGGGTAATATTTTTGGCCATGACTGTATACTATATTAGGTATCGGTGAGGCCGACTCTCACTCTCTGTGTATTAGGACCTCCTCCTGGTTATGCTCAGTAGATCTGCACAGCTTTGCATTCCGGGGATGTAATAATTCCATATTGTGGAGCAGTTGTCCTCCCGTCCACCTATTACTATAGTAGAATGCTCATTCTGGGGCTGCGACCAATGGCTTGCACACACCCAAGTGGCACCGGGTAACATTTTTGGTTTCACAATGGGCATGTGATGGAATAGTCTTCCCAATCATCATATATTAGACTCTAGCAGCACGTCCATTGTGACCCCCCCATCAGTGTCTCCTGCTGGTCCTCTTGGGTCTACCATCTATGCAATGTGTGCTCCTGCAATAAAGAACCAGAGAAAACCCCAGAGATCTGGGGGTGCAGGACACACTTGGGTGGAAAACTGGCTGACTTCTCCAACTCTACTGATTTCTTTTATAGGACCAATTCCTCCCCCTCCGGAATATCCAGCACCTCTGTAGGAGTTCCATTTCCCCCGTCTTCTGTCCTCGGAGAATGGAGGAGGGAAGGAAGACGATGGTGGAGAGGATACTGAGCCTTACTATGGAGTTCATCTACCTGATGACGGGAGAGGTGAGGAGCATTCTGGGAATTTCACGGTGATGTCATTTGTATGTTAACCAGAAAAGTTCTTGAGGGGACAGTCAGGTAGACCTATGACCCTGCAGGAGCATTCACCAACGTTGCACTGGGTGAGTAATATAATCTGGCCCTTGAATTTTTTTTGGTTTCATTTCCGTTAGCATCGTCCTCTAAAGGTTTCCTAGAACCCAGCAAATCTTCACTTTTTGAGTTCACCTCCACTTTAATTCTTTAACCACTTGGTGATAGGTAAATATTAATGAACAGAATGCGCACTCACCAGAAGTGTGTATTAACCACTCGCCCTCCTGAGGATTTACCCCCCTTAATGACCACGCCTCTTTTTGCTACTCGGCGCTGCACTAATTCAACTGATAATTGCGCGGTCATGCAACGCTGCACCCAAACAAAATTTACGTCCTTTTTTTCACACAAATAAAGCTTTTCTTTCGGTGGTATTTGATCACCTGTGCGCTTTTTATTTTTCACGCTATAAAAAAAAAAGGCCAAAAATGTTGAAGAAAAACAATATTTTTTACTTTCAGCTATAAAAAATATATAGTAAACTCAAAGTTGGTTATAAATTTAGGCCAAAATGTATTCTGCTCCATGTTTTTGGTAAAAGTTATAGCGTCTACAAACTATGGGAGAGATACTGCAATTTACGCCATTTTTCTGCTATACAGCGCTGCGCTAGTTTAACGGACAATTGCGCGGTCATGCAATACAGTACATAAATGAAATTTACATCTTTTTTTTTCCCCACAAATTGAGCTTTCTTTCGGTAGTATTTGATCGCCTGTGCGGTTTTTATTTTTTGCGCTATAAAAAAAAGGCAGACAATTTTGAAGAAAAAAAACAATATTTTGGACTTTTTGCTATAAAACATGTCCAGTAAAAAAAAATTAAAAAATCAAATTTAGTCATAAATTTCAGCCAAAATGTATTCTGCGACATGTCTTTGCTAAAAAAAAACCTCAATACGTGTAAATTAATTGGTTTACGTGAAAGTTATAACGTTTACAAATGGCGGGAAAGATACTGGGATTTTTAGTTTTTTTTTATACTAATAATGGCGGCGATCAGCGACTTATGGCAGGACTGCAGGACTGCGGCGGACATTCTGACACTGGAGGGGTACTGACTTGGGGTCACTGACATCCCCAGTGATACCAATACAGTGATCAGTGCAAAAAAAAAACACTGACACTGTACTAATGGCACTGGGGAAGAAGGGGTTACGTTTATTATTCAGGGAAAGGGTTAACTGTGTGAGGGGGAGTGTTTTACTAGGGGGCGGGGGGGGGGGGGGGGGGTGTGTACTGCACGGGACACCGCTGTTCAGGCGAGAGAAACTCTTCTGTCCTGATCAGCGTGTCCTGGAGCTGTCAGGGAACTGACAGAGAGCAGAGCTACGGCAGCTGTGCTCTCTGTCAGCGATTGCCGCCGATCGCTGGGACATAGCCGGTAACGACCGGCTGTGACCCGGCGACTGACCTCCGCGGCCGTGATCAGTGGGACAGGTAGGGCGGCGGCGCTCCTCGCGCGAGCCCCCTACCTGTTTTGAAAACACACGTTTTAAAACGTGCTTTTGCCCAGCTGTGCCGCCCTGCAGAAATGCCGTATTTCTTTGGGCGGCATGTGGTTAAAGATCCCCCAATTTCTTTCTAGTTTGGGTATAAACGTAGCCTGTACCTATATGGATCATTTTAAAACCATTAAGCATTTGTGCTCAAAAGTTTGCCTCCCCTGCAGAAATGGTGAAACTTTGGCTTCGATATTGAAAATATGACCGATCGTGCCAAAAAACTGTCTTTTTTTTCAAGGATAGTGATGATAGGAAGCAACTTATTATCACAGAGTTGTTTGGCTCCTTTTTAAATCCTAATGATAACAGAATCCCCCCAAATGGCCCGGATCAGAAGTCTCCGCCCCCTGGATCAGAAGTCTCCGCCCCCTGGAATGTTGGGCCTTGGTACAGACACACAAGGTGACACACACGGGTTACAATGCCAATTAGAGGTTTATGTCCCACATTTGTGGCTTTTTAAAGTGCAATTAGTGTCAGTGTATAAATAGTCAGGGAGTTTGTTATATCTTACGTGGAAGCACTGACTAGGCTAGATACTGAGCCATGGGGAGCAGAAAAGAACTGTCAAAAGTCCTGCGTAACAAGGTAATGGAACTTTACAAAGATGGAAAAGGATATAAAAAATATCCAAAGCCTTTAATATGCCAGTCAGTACTGTACAATCACCTATTAAAGTGGAGTTCCACTCACACTGTGAAAAAAATAAAAGTCAGCAGCTACAAAAACTGTAGCTGCTGACTTTTAAAAAACAGCCACTTACCTGTCCGATCCCATGGTGTCCTCCCCGCAGCCCGTTTCACCAGCCATCTGGTTTTCCAGGCGCCAGTATCTTCAATGTGGGCACCCGGCTGTGACAGCTTGCGGCTTCACAGCCGAGTGCCCACTGCGCATGCGCGAGTAGCGCTGCGCTTCCTGAATGGGCCTGGTAGTCTTCTAGGACCTGTCACGTGTCCCAGAAGACTACGGGGAGGAAGAGCAACTTCCGCTTCCGATCGCCTAGGCGTTCACAGCAGAAGTGGGAGCGGGTACCTGTCAATTTTGTGTATCTGCTCCTCTAAAGGTGCCAATCCTTAATGGGGAGCGGGGGACCAGTCTTTAAAGCAGAACTTCCCCTTTTGGGTGGAGCTCCGCTTTAAGAAGTAGAAAATTCGGGGATCTCTTGATACCAAGCCAGGGTCAGGTAGACCAAGAAAGATTGCAGCCACAACTGACAGAAGAATTGTCTGGAATTCAAAGAAAACCCCCCCACGGGGCTGCTCTGGAAAAAGACTTCTGATCCGGGGGCGGAGACTTCTGATCTGGGGGGCGGAGACTTCTGATCCGGGCCATTTGGGGGGATTTCTGTTATCAGGATTTAAAAAGGAGCCAAACAACGACGTGACAATAAATGGCTCCATATCATCACTGTCCTTAATCACTTGGCCGGCACCTTATAGTAGAAGTACTGCTACAGGGCGGCAGGGCTGCGCACAATCGTGTGTGTATATATACACGTGATTTGCATTCCAGGGTAGGGGGCGCACGTGCGCGCCGCCCTACCTGCACCGCTATTGGCGGCTAGGGATGTCAATCACTGGGTCCCGACGCGCCTGATACAACTTGAACTTTATTCAAATCATAAATGTTCTATTGTAGTCACAGACAATTCCAAGCCTTGTGCTATTTATAGGAAGTTGTACGGCTTTGTAGCTGAAACGCGTTGGCCGCTGTATAGCCGCACTGCACTTTCTGGATGACGACTTGCCGGCTGTACGTTTTGACTCCGTAGTAACTTGTATGTCTCTCCTAACACACAGGAATACACAATGGTGAAGAAGACATCTGGAGATCATGTGACACTTGGCAGCCAATCCCGTGTGTCAGGAGAATGGAGCAGGAACAGGAAAATCACCATGGAGCCTCCACCCCACTGCTTGATACCAGAGAGGAACAATGACAAGAAGATTGTGGAGGTCATCAACAAGATCACTGAGCTTCTGACAGGAGAGGTGAGCGGTGCCGGGAATTATTGGAGGTGAGCGGTTCCGGGAATTATGGGAGGTGAGCGGTGTCGGGAATTATGGGAGGTGAGCGGTGCCGGGAAGTATGGGAGGTGAGCGGGTGCCAGGAATTATGGGAGGTGAGCGGTGCCGGGAATTATGGGAAGTGAGCGGTGCCGGGAATGATGGGAGGTGAGCGGTGCCGGGAATTATGGGAGGTGAGCGGTGCCGGGAATTCTGGGAAGTGAGCGGTGCCGGGAATGATGGGAGGTGAGCGGTGCCGGGAATTATTGGAGGTGAGCGGTGCTGGGAATTATGGGAGGTGAGCGGTGCCAGGAATTTTGGGAGGTGAGCGGTGCTGGGAATTATGGGAGGTGAGCGGTGCCGGGAATTTTGGGAGGTGAGCAGTGCCAGGAATTATGGGAGGTGAGCGGTGCCGGGAATTATTGGAGGTGAGCGGTGCCGGGAATTATGGGAAGTGAGCGGTGCCGGGAATTTTGGGAGGTGAGCGGTGCCGGGAATTTTGGGAGGTGAGCGGTGCCGGGAATTATGGGAGGTGAGCGGTGCCGGGAATTATGGGAGGTGAGCAGTGCCGGGAATTATGGGAGGTGAGCGGTGCCGGGAATTATTGGAAGTGAGCGGTGCCGGGAATTATTGGAAGTGAGCAGTGCCGGGAATTATTGGAAGTGAGCGGTGCCGGGAATTATGGGAGGTGAGCGGTGCTGGGAATTATGGGAGGTGAGCGGTGCCGGGAATTATGGGAAGTGAGCGGTGCCAGGAATTTTGGGAGGTGAGCGGTGCCGGGAATTCTGGGGCATCGTCCGGGATCATAAGCGGTATGTCTGGATGGTGACTGTATCATTGTGTGTGTCAGGTTCCTCTCCGGTGTCAGGACATCGCCGTCTATTTCTCCATGGAGGAGTGGGAGTATATGGAGGGACACAAGGATCTCTACAAGGACCCCATCATGGAGGACCAGCAGACCTTCCCATCACCAGGTAAGAGGAGGTTTGATTACTGTTCATAGTTTGGTTTCCAGCAGAGAGGCCTTCCATCCACAGCAGGGGTGGAAAACAAAGGTGGCCTCAACTGGGGCCTCCAATGGGTCCAAGGAGCCGCTTGATAGATGAGTTTTCATCAATCTGTGTTGTGGTAACAAATGGTATTCCACATGTTTTACCATTCCTGACCACAATTATAAATGAAACCGAAGTGCACCGTTACAGTAGTGCAAGGGTCTCCAAACTTTCCTTCAGTCCTTCAGACTTTACGGGGGCCGAATTGAGGCCAGTGTCAGTGGAAAATGCCCTGGCTTTAATGATAGTAAACAATCCCCCATGATTTGTGTCATTGGGAGGAATAGTGCCCCATCATTGGTGTCAGTGGGAGGAATAGTGCCCCATCATTGGTGTCAGTGGGAGGAATAGTGCCCCATCATTGGTGTCAGTGGGAGGAATAGTGCCCCATCATTGGTGTCAGTGGGAGGAATAGTGCCCATCATTGGTGTCAGTGGGAGGAATAGTGCCCCATCATTGGTGTCAGTGGGAGGAATAGTGTCCCATCATTGGTGTCAGTGGGAAGAAAAGTGCCCCATCATTGGTATCAGTGGGAGGAATAGTGCCCCATCATTGATGTCAGTGGGAGGAATAGTGCCCCATCATTGGTGTCAGTGGGAAGAATAGTGCCCCATCATTAGTGTCAGTGGGAGGAATAGTGCCCCATCATTGGTGTCAGTGGGAGGAATTGTGCCCCTTCATTGGTGTCAGTGGGAGGAATAGTGCCCCAATCATTGGTGTCAGTGGGAGGAATAGTGTCCCTTCATTGGTGTCAGTGGGAAGAATAGTGCCCCATCATTGGTGTCAGTGGGAGGAATAGTGCCCCATCATTGGTATCAGTGGGAGGAATAGTGTCCCATCATTGGTGCCAGTGGGAGGAATAGTGCCCCATCATTGGTGTCAGTGGGAGGAATAGTGTCCCATCATTGGTGTCAGTGGGGGAATAGTGCCCCATCATTGGTGTCAGTGGGAGGAATAGTGCCCCATCATTGGTATCAGTGGAAGGAATAGTGCCCCATCATTGGTATCAGTGGGAGGAATAGTGCCCCATCATTGGTGTCAGTGGGAGGAATAGTGCCCCATCATTGGTGTCAGTGGGAGGAATAGTGCCCCATCATTGGTGTCAGTGGGAGGAATAGTGCCCCATCATTGGTATCAGTGGGAGGAATAGTGCCCCATCATTGGTGTCAGTGGGAGGAATAGTGCCCCATCATTGGTATCAGTGGGAGGAATAGTGCCCCATCATTGGTGTCAGTGGGAGGAATAGTGCCCCATCATTGGTGTCAGTGGGAGGAATAGTGCCCCATCATTGGTATCAGTGGGAGGAATAGTGCCCCATCATTGGTGTCAGTGGAGGAATAGTGTCCCATCATTGGTATCAGTGGGAGGAATAGTGCCCCATCATTGGTGTCAGTGGGAGGAATAGTGCCCCATCATTGGTGTCAGTGGGAGGAATAGTGCCCCATCATTGGTATCAGTGGGAGGAATAGTGCCCCATCATTGGTGTCAGTGGGAGGAATAGTGTCCCATCATTGGTGTCAGTGGGAGGAATAGTGCCCCTTCATTGGTGTCAGTGGGAGGAATAGTGTCCCATCATTGGTGTCAGTGGGAGGAATAGTGCCCCAACATTGGTGTCAGTGGGAGAATAGTGACCCATCATTGGTGTCAGTGGGAGGAATAGTGCCCCATCATTGGTATCAGTGGGAGGAATAGTGCCCCATCATTGGTGTCAGTGGGAGGAATAGTGCCCCATCATTGGTATCAGTGGGAGGAATAGTGCATTCTTTAAAAAAAGGATGATTACGCCGATAAATTCCTTCATCATTTGTCAGTGTCACTGGGATGGAAGCTACGTTGCACCTGCTTGTGCCTCTCATCTGCCTGCATTGCATAGAGAAGCATTAAAAAAACACAATATATCCCAATTCTTTTGTAAAATTTGAAGGATGATGTTACGCCGAGTAAATAGATACCTAACATGTCGGGCTTTAAAAATCAGCTCGTGGAATGGCGACAAACTGCGGTGCTTATATACCTCCATAGGCTTTAAAAGCCTTTACAGGAGGAATAGTGCCCCATCATTGGTATCACTTCTACCCCCTTCCTGCCTACCGGGCACTTCTACCCCCTTCCTGCCTACAGGACACTTCTACCCCCTTCCTGCCTACAGGGCACTTCTACCCCCTTCCTGCCTACAGGGCACTTCTACCCCCTTCCTGCCTACAGGGCACTTCTACCCCCTTCCTGCCTACCGGGCACTTCTACCCCCTTCCTGACTACAGGGCACTTCTACCCCCTTCCTGCCTACCGGACACTTCTACCCCCTTCCTGCCTACAGGGCACTTCTACCTCCTTCCTGCCTACCGGGCACTTCTACCCCCTTCCTGCCTACCGGACACTTCTACCCCCTTCCTGCCTACAGGGCACTTCTACCTCCTCCTGCCTACCGGACACTTCTACCCCCTTCCTGCCTACAGGGCACGTCTAACCCCTTCCTGCCCACCGGGCACTTCTACCCCCTTCCTGCCTACAGGGCAGTTTTCAGCTTTCAGCACTCTCACACTTTGAATGACAATTGCGGTCATGCAACACTGTACCCATATGTACCCGTTTTTTGTGACAGATAGAGCTTTCTTTTGGTGGTATTTAATCACCTCTGTGGGGGTTTTCTATTTTTTTGCTAAAACAAACCAAAAACAACTAAAAATTTTGAAAAAAAAAAGTTTTTTCTTAGTTGTCATAAAATTTTTGTAAATAAGTTATTTTTCTCCTTCACTGATGTGCACTAATGAGGCTGCAGTGATGGGCACTGATAGGCTGAACTGATGGGCACTGATAGGCGGCACTGATAGGTGGCACTGATGGGCATTGACAGGCATCACTGATGGGCACTGAAAGGCAGCACTCATATATGGCACTGATAGGCGGCACTGATGCATGCTGATAGGCGCCACTGACTGGCACTGATAGGCGCCACTGACTGGCACTGATAGGTGGCACTGACTGGCACTGATTGGCAGCATGCATGAGTGGCACTGACTGGCACATCATTGGTGGCACTGGCTGGGACAGTGACACTGATAGGTGGCACTGACTGGCATTGATAGGTGGCACTGACTGGCACTGATAGGTGACACTGAAAGACAGCTCAGATGGGCACTGATATGTGGCACTGATGGGCACTGGCAGGTGGAATTGATGAGCACTGACAGCTGGCATTGATGGGCATTGACAGGTGGCACTGCTGGGGCTACACTGATCATCAGGGCACACTGATCATCAGTGCCCTGATGATCAGTGTACATGTCCCCTCTGAGGAATGCCGATTACCGGCTCTCCGCTCCTCTCCTCTGTCAGCGTGACAGCTTGTGAGGAGAGAAATGCAGATAACCGCCATTTCCCTATTTACATGTGATCAGCTGTGTTTGGATACAGCTGATCACATGACCGAGCCGACATCTTCGGCTCTTTCCGTGATCGGTGATCTGCTGTGTCCGAGGGACACAGCGCACCACCAATCTGCGCACCCCTGGAGCCACGCATGCGCGGTTAGAGTGGGAGGACATCATATGACATCCTCCCAGAATGAGAGAACCGCCTTGCGCCTGTGATTTCCTTATATGGCGGGCGGGAGGCGGTTAAACGGGTGCAAAAAAACACAAAAACAGCTCAAGCAGCGAAAAGGTTCAAATCTATCTCCTGTTTTACCGATAACTGACTTTCCCCTTTTCCCTCCATATTTCATTTCCTCCAGATGTCCCGGTTAATAGGAACAATGAAGAACAAAGCGGTGTTCTCTCTCCGAATGGTGAAATCAAGGCTGAGGACCTCATGGCTCGTTCTTCAGAAGGTAGCCCCATCGCTCCAAATCTCCATCAGAGCCTTCCCTGTGAGCATGCCTCATCCGATCCTCCTACACTCCGGGTTTATGTTCCTGATCACGGAGCCGCTGCCACCCATCCTACGCCTCCCACAATGGGCGAAGGTCTCTCGTCTTCTGGTCTTGGTGGGCGGCTTACTTCGAGAGAAGAAGAAATGGTCTCTCTTCAGGCCAGTTACGTGGAGGACAAACCAAACTCACGCAACAAATATCAGAAACGTTTTTTCTGCAAACCAGAACTTCTCCGACACGACCGGGTCTACAGGGTGGAGAAGTTGTATTCCTGCTCCAAGTGCGGTAAAAGCTTCAACCGCAAATCGATGCTCGTCATCCACAAAAGGACTCACACCAACCAGAAGTCGTATTCGTGCTCGGTGTGCGGGAAAGTCTTTCCCCAGCAATCGGATGTTGTCCGGCATGAGAAGGTCCACTCAGGGGTGAAGCCATATCCATGTTCGGTATGCGGGAAGCCTTTCTCACAGAAATCAGATCTTGTGAAACATCAGACGGTTCACACGAGAGAGAAGCCGTATTCCTGCCCCAAGTGCGGGAAGTGTTTTTCCCATAATTCCTCCCTTAGCAGACACAAGAGGCTGCATACGGGGGAGAAGCCGTATTCCTGTAATGAGTGCGGGAAGTGCTTCCCTCGCAAACCAGATCTGGACAAACATGAATTGGTTCACACCAGGCAGAAGTCACATTCATGTTCCAAGTGCGAGAAATGTTTTTCACACAAATGGAATCTTATCCGGCATGAAAAGGTTCACGGGGAGGACAAGTCCTATCCGTGTCCCGTGTGCAGGAAAACCTTTACCCGCAAATCCAACCTCATCATACACAAAGAGGTCCACATGAGAGAAAAGCTCTTTTGGTGTTCGGTGTGCGGGAAATGTTTTTCTCAGCAAGCAGATCTTTTCAAGCATGAGGCAGTCCACACGGTGGTGAAGCCACATTCGTGTCCGGAATGTGGAAAATATTTTATCCAAAAATCGGATCTGGTGAAACATCAGGTGGTCCATACTGGAGAGAAGGCTTTCTCCTGCTCCAGTTGCGGTCGATGTTTTTCCCATAGATCCTCCCTTACTAGACACGAGAGGCTCCACACGGAGGAGAAGAAGTCACATTTCTGTAACCAGTGTGGGAAAAGCTTTTCTCGCCAATCGGATCTCACCAAACATGAACCGGTTCACACGGAGGAGAAGTCCTATTCCTGTACTGAATGTGGACAATGCTTTCTCCGTAAATCAGATCTTGTAGAACACGTAGTGGTTCACCCGGGCGAGTTGTATTCATGTTCTGAATGCGGGCAGAACTTTCCCAGCAAGTTGGATCTTATTGAGCATGAGAGAGTTCACTTGGGGGGAGGGGATGTATTCCTTATCCAAGTGCGGGAAACGTTTTCTCCAGAAGTCCCATCCACTCAGACATGAGTCAAAATCCTGTTTCCAATGTGGAAAGAGTTGAGACAGATTTTATAGTCTCAAGTGGTTCGGAGATGTCAGAATAATGTTCCAGGAATTTTGTTTTTTTCAGAAACGTGAAGAGGATTCACATGTTGGTTGAGTTGTATTTGCGTTCCAAACGTGGGCAATGTTTTTCCCCTGAAGCGGAACTCATCGAACGCCCAACTGTTCAGAAGTTTTATGCATTTTCCTAATGTGGGCCATGTTTTTCCTTCAAGTTGGGTCTTATTGGACATGAGAGAGTTCACATGGGTGGAGGAGAGATATTCCTTGACCAAGAAGTCCCATCAACGTTAGAAACGAGAGGGTTCAAGTCAAAATGCTGTCCTAATGTGGAAAACATTTTATACAGAAAAGCTGATTTTATTGCACATGAAGCAGTTCAGAGACATCTAATTTATGTTCCAAGTGTGGGATTATTTTTTTTTTTTTTCTGGAAGTCAACGTTCGTGAAACGTGAAAATACTTTACCCGGGGCTGAGTTGTATTTGTGTTCCAAACCTTCAATGGTAACCAATAAAACCAAACTTTATTGATCATCTGGCTCTTCAGAAATTGTATTCATTTTCCAAATTTGGGCAACATTATATCATAGAAGTTGGATCTTATTGGATATGCGAGAGTTCACATGGGGGAGGAGATGTATTCCTTGACCAAATCTCCAGAAGTCCCATCAACATGAGAAACGAGAGAGTTCAAGTCAAAATGCTGTCCTAATTGGAAATGACAGGAGAAAAAGTCAAAATCCTGTTTCCAATGTGGAAAGAGTTAAGGCAGATTTTATAGTCTAAGAAGCGGTTCAGAGATGTCAGAATAATGTTCCAGGAATTTGTTTTTTTCAGAAACGTGAAAGGATTCACATGTTGGTTGAGTCGTATTTGCGTTCCAAACGTGGGCAATGTTTATCCCCTGAAGCGGAACTCATCGAACGCCCAGCCATTCAGAACGTTTTATGCATTCTCCTAATGTGGGCCATGTTTTTCCTCCAAGTTGGGTCTTATTGGACATGAGAGAGCTCACATGGGTGGAGGAGACATAGTGCTTGACCAAATCTCCAGAAGTCCCATCAGCGTGAGAAACGAGAGAGTTCACATTGGGGGGAATTGTCAAAATTCTGTCCTAATGTGGAAAACATTTTTTACAGAAATTTGATTTTTATTGCACATGAAGCAATTTAGAGACGTCTATTTTATGTTCCAGGTGTGGGATTATTATTTTTTTTTTTTTAATGGAAGTCAACGCTCGTGAAACGTGAAAAGACTTTACCCGGGGCTGAATTGTATTTGTGTTCCAAACCTTGGCAATGGTAACCAATAAAACCAAACTTTATTGATCATCTAGCTCTTCAGAAATTGTATTCATTTTCCAAATTTGGGCAACATTCTTCATTGAAGTTGGATCTTAATGGATATGAGAGAGTTCACATGGGGGGAGGAGATGTATTCCTTGACCAAGAAGTCCCATCAATGTGAGAAACGAGAGGGTTCAAGTCAAAATGCTGTCCTAATGGGGAAAACATTTTTTACAGAAAAGCTGATTTTATTGCACATGAAGTGGTTCAGAGACATCTAATTTATGTTCCAGGTGTGGGATTATTATATTTTTTCTGGAAGTCAACGCTCGTGAAACGTGAAAAGACTTTACTCGGGGCTGAAATGTAGTTGTGTTCCAAACCTTGGTCAATGGTAACCAATAAAACCAAACTTTATTGATCATCTAGCTCTTCAGAAATTTGTATTAATTTTCCAAATTTGGGCAACATTTTTCATAGAAGTTGGATCTTATTGGATATGAGAGAGTTCACATGGGGGGGAGATGTATTCCTTATCCAACTGCGGGAAACGTTTTCTCCAAAAGTCTCATCCACTCAGACATGAGAGGGGAAAAAGTCGAAATCCTGTTTCCAATGTGGAAAAGAGTTAAGGCAGATTTTATAGCACAAGAAGCGGTTCGGAGATGTCAGAATAACGTTCCAGGAATTTAGTTTTTTTCAGAAATGTGAAAAGGATTCACATGTTGGTTGAGTCATATTTGCGTTTCCAAACGTGGGCAATGTTTTTCCCCTGAAGCGGAACTCATCGAACGCCCAGCTGTTCAGACGTTTTATGCATTCTCCTAATGTGGGCCATGTTTTTCCTTCATGTTGGGTCTTATTGGATATGAGAGAGCTCACATGGGTGGAGGAGACATAGTCCTTGACCAAATCTCCAGAAGTCCCATCAACGTGAGAAACGAGAGAGTTCACGTTGGGGGGAAAAGTCCAAATGCTGTCCTAATGTGGAAAACATTTTTTACAGAAAAGCTGATTTTATTGCACATGAAGCAGTTCAGAGACGTCTAATTTATGTTCCAAGTGTGGGATTATAATTTTTTTTTTTGTATGGAAGTCATTGCTCGTGAAATGTGAAAAGACTTTACCTCGGGGCTGAACTGTATTTGTGTTCCAAACTTGGCAATGGTAACCAATAAAACCAAACTTTATTGATCATCTAGCTCTTCAGAAATTGTATTCATTTTCCAAATTTGGGCAATATTTTTCATAGAAGTTGGATCTTATTGGATATGAAAGAGTTCACATGGGTGGAAAAGACATATTCCTTGACCAGATCTCCAGAAGTCCCATCAACATGAGAAACGAGAGAGTTCAAGTCAAAATGCTGTCCTAATGTGGAAATGAGAGGAGAAAAAGTCGAAATCCTGTTTCCAATGTGGAAAAAGTTCAGGCAGATTTTATAGCATAAGAAGCGGTTCGGAGATGTCAGAATGTTCCAGGAATTTAGTTTTCTTCAGAAACGTGAAAAGGATTCACATGTTGGTTGAGTCGTATTTGTGTTCCAAAATGTGGGCAATTATTTTTCCCTGAAGCGGAACTCATTGAACGCCCAGCTGTTCAGACGTTTTATGCATTTCCCTAATGTGGGCCATGTTTTTCCTTCAAGTTGGGTCTTATTGGACATGAGAGAGCTCACATGGGTGGAAGAGACATATTCCTTGACCAAGAAGTCCCATCAATGTGAGAAACGAGAGGGTTCAAGTCAAAATGCTGTCCTAATGGGGAAAACATTTTTTATAGAAAAGCTGATTTTTTTGCACATGAAGCGGTTCAGAGATGTCTAATTTATGTTCCAAGTGTGGGATTATTTTTTTTTTTTTTAATGGAATTCAACGCTCGTGATACGTGAAAAGACTTTACCCGGGGCTGATTGTATTTGTGTTCCAAACCTTGGCAATGGTAACCAATAAAACCAAACTTTATTGATCCTCTAGCTCTTCAGAAATTGTATTCATTTTCCAAATTTGGGCAACATTTTTCATTGAAGTTGGGTCTTATTGGACTTGAGAGAGTTCACTGGGGGGGAGGAGATGTATTCCTTGACCAAGAAGTCCCATCAATGTGAGAAACGAGAGGGTTCAAGTCAAAATGCTGTCCTAATGGGGAAAACATTTTTTACAGAAAAGCTGATTTTATTGCACATGAAGCGGTTCAGAGACATCTAATTTATGTTCCAGGTGTGGGATTATTATATTTTTTTCTGGAAGTCAACGCTCGTGAAACGTGAAAAGACTTTGCCCGGGGCTGAATTGTATTTGTGTTACAAACCTTGGCAATGGTAACCAATAAAACCAAACTTTATTGATCATCTAGCTCTTCAGAAATTGTATTCATTTTCCATATTTGGGCAACATTTTTCATAGAAGTTGGGTCTTATTGGACATGAGAGAGTTCACATGGGGGGATGAGATGTATTCTTTATCAAAGTGTGGGAAACGTTTTCTCCAGAAGTTCCATCAACTCAGACAGAGTCCACACGGGGGTGGAAAGTCAAAATCGTGTT